AGGTGTCGTTGAATATGACGAATGACCCTTCGCTACTTTGTCGATCACTTATTGGCTAAAATGCAATTGACTGAATCCCTTTGATATTTTTTTGGCCAAGTATAAAAATATGCAAGTACCACTGCGACCCCCAAAATAGCACAAGTCACAAGTTTGTGTTTGGCATATGTTGTGGATGTGTCACTGTATGTGTTGCATTTATGTTTACATGTCCAAGATGTGCCACCCAAAAATCAGGAGCACAAGTGCCAAAAACGACTGGCTTAAAGTTGTTTTGGCCAGCTCCTGCGAATCTACGTTAATGGGAGGCAAGCTCCTCTCACTCCTGGCGGCACGGTGACGGTCTCTTCAGTATGGGAAAGGCCGCACACGACTCCTTTTCACGCTGATGATGCGCTTGCGAATGAAGATTAGGACTCGCAACAAGGTCAATAACACGTATAATGATGATTGTCTTACGAATTATAGATTCAATCATCTGCCCTCGTTCAAACGAAAGATATCCCATGGCACGCGCACTCGTAGTCAGCTCCTGTAGAGCACAAAACACTTTGTTGAACGCAGGGAATCTGCGAAACAGCCGAAAAACTCCACATCTCCACATATATGTGAGACACGCAACACAAACACATACTAACGTTAGTACTTGGTTACAGTGATCCCTCAATGTTTGCTCGCTTTTCCAAATATAAATTTTCCAAGTCAGCCTATTGTACAAAGAAACCACAAACATTAACTTTGAAGGGTGACAATCTGCTTGTCAATTAAGCAAAAGCTGAAGTGAATGGCCCAAGTTCCGAGGTAGAACCCCCGTATGGGCCCAGCAGTTGCGAATGGTCGTTGATGTGACGCAACTGTAGACTTCACTGAAGTCTCACCAAGTATGTGTTTGCCTTGTGGGTATACATATGTTCAGCTTGTGTTGTGTTTGCGTTTGTGTTTATGCTATTTTTGGGAATTCCAATGCGGTTATATATACGTACTGTAGTTCTTGTACTTGACGTGACATAATTAATACTAGACGTGACACAATCAATGTAAGGCATGTTTGCATGGATGGCCCGAGCTAAACGACGGAACTATGCATACGGACGGGGTGTGGACTGGGTGTGGACTGTAGATGCTTTACACGGAGCACTCCGTCCGCATATACTGCCATCGATACGTTCAGGCTCTTCCGACGTTTGATGTTGGTCACTACAGTACAATATCAATTCCCCCACAACTCATCCACATGTACAGTACCATGTTCCTTGGTCCACGTGGTAGGAATTTGGATGGAATTCTCAGACTGATAGAGGGGCGTAATGGCCTAGGTTAATTGAGTTTGGATTATCATTATTAACAGTAAGACCAAGGCCATTACGCCCCTCTATCAGTCTGAAAATTCGAGGGAGTCATATGGACAAAAAGCCTGTTGAAAAAATCAAGTAGTGAGAGTGGTTAGGGTGACTTTTTTGGTTATGGTAATCATAGGAATAAGGGTAGAGAAAGAACGAAATACCTTAAACTTATCGTCGGCCCTATTACCAACCACCGATGGGATGAAGCGGACGTGAATCAGGATGTACATGTATTACAGCGAGTACGTATCTGCATGGGACTAAACCTCGAACGATTGCTCTAGGCCTCGTGACCTGGAACAGTAGTGTTAATTGCACTCCATGCTACCAGACTCCAATGGCAACTTTGCCGGCTTGTGGCGTAGGCGGACACGCCCAGCCTACGCCACAAGCCGCCAAAGTTCCGCGTATATCGTGCGTGGGTCGTGTTTCGTGCTGCTTCTGTATACATCTTCTATAGTCGAGATATATGTACTGTCTAGATATAGAATGAACCTTGCTTGTGGTACCAACGGATGACTGAATGCGCAAGGGGATCGACATACCCGTGGACCCAGTGAGCAGTGTGTGTGAGGTGGCAAATTGAAGAATGACGACATTAGACAGATTTCGCAAACGCCAGTTCTATTCTATCCGCAACATAAAATTTCGAACCCAGATAGGTTGCAACCTTGTGCAGTGCGAATTTCGCAAATCGTCCGCTGCAAATTGGTTTTATCCAGAAAACGTTATCCAATCAAACGTGGTTATTATTCTTTGCCGTCATCACTCAATAATGATGCTGGCTGGAGTCCCTCGGTACTAGTAAATGACACTTCCAACGCATACAAAGGCGAGAATTGTACGCCTACAGTTGGATTCTCGCCCAGCACCAATGAAGCGTTACCATCCTACCCACTTGCAGCATCATTGTACAGATAATCTGGTTTCGGGGTTTCACCCGCGAGGTCGACGAAAGACTTCACGTCATTCTCGTGCCGGGACAAAGTAGTGAGGTCCTTCGAGAGATGTGAGGACACTGTGTTCAGAGCGACGTCCTTCTACCACAAATGACATAATGTTACTCATGAGACTCTAATCCGAATCACCTCGCCATCCCAGGCAGTCGCCATGGATGGTACCGGTATGATCAAACAAAACACAAGCGCCTCCGCTTACACCAGAAAACCCACCATTTATGCGGATACAGCAAATGGGTAATCCGCTGCAAAATTGGCAAATTTTACAGCGGCTTTAATTATTTATAACAGGTTCAGTTCTTTCCTTATCGAATTTGAGAGCATAGGTTGCGGATAAAATAGAACTGACGTTTGCGAAATCTGTTTATTGAAATATGTGGTTGGCCATAAAAATCAATATTTATCCAATCAAAACACCCTATCATCTTCTGAAAGATGATAGGGTGTTGAACAGGGTGCTGCGTCGTATTGCCTGACTGATGTACTAACTAATTAGCCTTTCTTTGCAGGTACTTTATTCACAACTAACACAGTGATAACGAGTGGAGCTGATATACCGGTAGTATACTAGAGGATTAGCCCGTTGTTGTTGCTCGCACCAACGATGACCAAATCCATTTCTGCTAGTAAGGCAAGACAAGCATTCTAGAGTCCTGAACCATGCCAGCAGTTGAGCTAGCAATTTGACGTAGCCATGTGATATTCCTTTGTACTAGTATGCGTTATGTGTATACAATGTGACTTTGCGCGAAAGTTAAGAAGTAAATCGTACAGCTGTGTTGAAGTACAACACCAAGTTATTCGTGTAAATGCTAGCAATTGGGTCAGAGTGGCGGTAAAATCCACACCTAAAAGTACAGGTTTCAGCCACTATGTGCGACTTGCTCATAGTGCACGTAAATCGCTACAGCTGTATCGATTGCAACCCCTACATCGTTTATAACCCCCTACGACCTCCTGTCCCCTCCACAACGAATGTGCTTGTAGCTTATCTACATGTGGAAGCCCCCTTCCCCTCACAATATTCGACTTGTAGCATCCCCCAAGCCAAATAGGCTAGCATACACTCTATTGTTCTTAACGCTCACTCGAATATACAATTAGCACTGTCAAGTGCATGCCCCATCCACTCATATCGCCTAATCCTGAGAGAATTGAACTACACTACACAATATCTCGCGCAATGTCACTTGTTGGTATTTGTGCTCTGTGATGTGAGGGATATTGGAATTCAGACGATAAATGCTTGTCACTATGAGCCAAGAATGATATGAGTGAGCACAGTATGCGTTGCAAGACACACAGTGTGCTAAGCAATCGGGCTGGGGGGATGCTACGGGAAAAGTGTTTTCACACGTGCTTTTGGAGGTTTTACTCGTGTTATGAAAAGTGGAGGAATCACGCGTGTTTTCTCAATAACAACTTTACGGAATCGGGGGACTTGCGCGTGTAAATATTTTGACATGCATAAGCTATTTTACTTAACAATTTTGACAGCTAATACAATCTTGCGTCTGTCGGCGATCATCGCCGCCATCTAATCATCCTATCTCGGGCAATACTGGTCTAAATTCATTCATTCTTCGCCTGGCCCCACCGCTGAGTGATGTACTCAGAGGTGGGACCAGTACCGTACATGCATTCGTGGCCTCGTCATCTCTCGGACGCGCTACATGACATGCATTAATTATCCGAACAGACATGACCACCTCTATCTCGGCCAATACTGGTCCAAATTCACTCATTCTTCGACGTACTCAGAGGTGGGACCAGTACCGTACATGCATTCGTGGCCTCGTCATCTCTCGGATGCGCTACATGACAGGCGTCAATTATCCGAACAGCCATGACCACCTCAATCTCGGCCAATACTGGTCCAAATTCACTCATTCTTTGCCTGGCCCCACCGCTGAGTGATGTACTCAGAGGTGGGGCCAGTACCGTACATGCATTCGTCGCCTTGTTATGTCTCGGACGCGCTACATGATAGGCGTCAATTATCCCAACAGCCATGACCACCTCTATCTCGGCCAATACTGGTCCAAATTCACTCATTCTTCGACGTACTCAGAGGTGGGACCAGTACCGTACATGCATTCGTGGCCTCGTCATCTCTCGGATGCGCTACATGACAGGCGTCAATTATCCGAACAGCCATGACCACCTCAATCTCGGCCAATACTGGTCTAAATTCACTCATTCTTTGCCTGGCCCCACCGCTGAGTGATGTACTCAGAGGTGGGGCCAGTACCGTACATGCATTCGTCGCCTTGTTATGTCTCGGACGCGCTACATGATAGGCGTCAATTATCCCAACAGCCATGACCACCTCTATCTCGGCCAATACTGGTCCAAATTCACTCATTCTTCAACTGGCCCCACCGCTGAGTGATGTACTCAGAGGTGGGGCCAGTACTGTACATGCATTCGTCGCCTTGTTATCTCTCGGACGCGCTACATGATAGGCGTCAATTATCCGAACAGCCATCACCACCTCAATCTCTGCCAATACTGGTTTCAGGGTTTTCCCACCGCTGAGTGATGTTCTGACAAGAAATGCATATATGTTTATATGAATTGTAATGAATGTGGTCAAGCAACGACATATCTAAAGTAACCCCGTCTGTCACGTCAACGCCTCCGATGAATGCAGCATGAATCGCACTCGAAACTTTGACGCCGTCGAAGCGAGCGTTTTTGCGTTCACCATTGATTTCGAATTGTGCTGCCCAACGCTTCTTCTGTGGAAGGTACGGCACCACAACGCCGATGGCAGTGTGGAGGCTCCACACTCTTGAGCTGTTATCTTGATCTTCAGACACTTTGAAGTCATTGCAGCACTTGTAGCCAACAATGCTTACGGCAACTTCGATATACGCTTCAGTAGGTTTTCTTGCGAGAAAAATTCATCTCGAGTCTCAACTGACAGACCACCTTGTGGATGTCGCGGCCTTCCGTTCTGTTTTCGCTGCGGCAATGTCCGCAGTCTTGCATCGATGTTGAAACCATCGATGATTGCCAAGCACGCCACTGTGTGCGAGCAAAGCCAGCCACTTGAGTAGTATCCTGCACAATCGCAAGAATATTTCAGGCGCGTAGCGCCGCGCTATTGACACATTTATTATATCTCACTTGGCGCAATAGACTAGCTCGTCGAATTTGAATGGTGTCAGCGCGAGCATGTCGTCGCGAATATGGACGTCGGTGTTAACAGTAACCGCATGAAGACTTAGGAGGACATCTTTGATGGACTTTTCGGTTGATCTGACCAGATTCTCACCATCAATAGAGTTGATAAACCTAACACAAACATAAGACGATTCCATTCTACGAATTGTACGAGTCCTTTCTGCGCGACTACGACTTACTTTGCGACCGAAGTGTGATGTGCTGTTGAACAGTATGTATAGTACGTGTGTGTTTGTCGAGTCGATGAGGTGATTGATTGAGGATTGCAACGTCAACGCCTTCTCGAGGACTTCTGTTGAAATGGGGCAGGCTGCCCAAAGCCCTGGACTCGTGTCCGTCGCGATTTGATCGGACACCAGCACCCTGGGAATGGTGTGTTGGAGTACCACACTGGTCAAGGCCCGCAGCTCATGTGCACAAACCAATTTCGAATGTATATATCAAGAAACAACTTACTGTCTTGATTCCCTTGTGGTGTCTTTCAATGTGCTGTTGATGGGCGACGACACCTGTACATCCAGACGCTGTAGAAAACCACAGATCCCAGGGTGGAGTGAGATAGGTCTCGTTAAACCATTGCGAAAACGTCACTTCGCCGAGTTTCGTGCTCCACGTCCACATGTAAGTGGTTGAAATGATTTGGAATTGGTGCCACGTCCGTGCGAGCCACATATGCATATCTCCCTTGACTTTGTCGTAGTTGTCATTGTTGATCAACAAGTGCTTGTGGCGCCGCACGTTGCGCTTCAAATGGATATAGCACGATATGATGCGGATAGCTGGCCACTTCGAGGTCAACGCAGCCATGATGTACCCGGTGTGGTCAATTGACGCAATTGCAGGGACGAGGTCTGTGTTGAAAAAGGTGGTGTACATACTTGATGTAACATCGAAGAGTTTATAGTACGCCTCCTTGCACTCCGCTCGGACGAACAGGTACGTCCATGGCAGAAATTTGTGGCGTACGCAGCCTCTGGAGTACTTAGTGTACACAGCGACCAAGTCAATTAAAGTCCACCCACCTAAAGGATAGGAATAGTAGAATCTTGAATGTGGCTAGCAATTACTAACGTGCTGTGTATTACCAAAATGCAGTTTGTACGTTCCGTCAGTTGATATAGCCAACGACGACCCTTGACATTCGCGGGTCCATGAAATATTCCACATGTTCTGCCGCGAGGACAACACTAGTCCAACGTAGGGTTTGTCGTCGCCTTGATCGGCATACGTCCCTTCAAAGACGTCCAGTAGAATCAGCCTGCGGCTACACACTGTATGTAAATGATACAAGACATAGTATATTTATGTAAAATAGTACTGGGAAAGAGGGAATGCAACGCCCACCGAAGAAAACTGTAAGTC